CGGAACCCCCACCCTGCCCTTCCCCATCCCCTCCTCACCCCAGCCTCTCCCACTGCTGTCACCTGCCCGCAGCACCGGCCGCGCTGAGCAGAGCGGGCAAAATGAAATGTTTAAATCCTGTCAGTCATTACTTCAGTGCTCAGAACTCAGGCAGCGGCTCCAAAGCGTCGAGGGAAGCTCCGTGTGCGAGCATTGATGGAACAGACTGGGCTGGATCCACCTAAATGTCCCATCAGCACCTGGAGGGGTTTGCAAAGGAACCTCTGAGACATGGGACTCCTCCCAGATTGCAGAGAAAGGCAGCAAGGGCATCAACCTCTGGCCAGCCCAGGGCAGCATCTCGTGAGCACACGGATGTTCTGGGCTTGGCTGAGGCTCAGCCATGTTGCTGTGGCAAACATGAAGCCAGTGCCACTCACCCAGGGGAGAGATGGGTGCTGTGGGCACAGCTGGTGCCCCAAGGATGCTCTCAGCCCTTCCACATCCAGCAGCCAGCACCAGCTCCACAGGAATGGCCACACAATCCCCCTCCACCAACTCCACCTAAAAGAATCAAGCATCTGGGGGATCAGAAATTCCACAAGAGCTAAAAGCAAGCTTATGGGCAGGAAGACATTTTTGCTTTTGGGGGGAAAACCTGGGGAATCTCATCTTCCAGGAGTCCTTGAAGTGCACCTCAATTCCTGAGCCAGTCTGCAGCATGTAACCAGCCTCAAACATCTGCTTTTGAGGAAAAGCTGAACTCCTGCATGTCCCTCCCACTCGGTGCACGCACTACAATATCTAATAAACCCTGAGTTGCTCAACACCCATCAAACCTGCCAAAATATCACAATTTTAAGTCTAAAAATGCAAGATCTGTAGAAAAGGGTGAGGAAGACAGTAAATTAGGCCCTGCACGAAGGGTTCTACATGGGAAGCTAATGACCTTTTGTCTCTCCTGTCTGCAGACGGGCCTCATTTGCATGTATGCAGTTGGAATAATCTCGTCCATATTTCAAGCGTGTGGCTGCATCCCCGCGTCCTCCTCCAGAGAGGTTCCCTCCCGCTGTGCATGCCATTATCTGAGTGCAGCCACTTCAGGCTGCCTTTAAAGCCACCTAGACACCAGGCAGCCTTCTCCAGCCCCACAGGAGCCTCTCCCCGTGGAAGAGAAAGAGAGGTTTGAGGCCCCATATGTGGCAAAACAGAGAAGCCCTGATGTGGCGTGGCTGGGGGACACCCCGAGCTGTGAGACTGACAGCAGTGCCCACACCTCACCTCTGGGGAACATCCCTGGCCTTTGGGGGAACTGCTCCAGCTAACAGCCATACCTCTCCTCCTCTGGGGACCAAGGTTTAGGCTGATCTCAGGTTTGTGGAGTTCAAACATTTTACCAGATCCCTCTGCTAGAAGCTGAAGTCCTGGCATGCCCTTTATTTGATGTTTTAAGGATAATTTGGATGGAATTCCCAAGAGCCAGGTTAAAAAAGTTGGAAGTAGAAAATCTGGGGGTCACTTGAGGTCTCTCCTCACCTCTCCCTCCTCACATTGCTCCTCCTCAAAGCCTAGAGGTCTCTCAGAGCTGGTTTAACAGCCCAAGGGGAAGCTGTGACCCTACTGGGGGCAGCTGATGTTTACTGGGGCCAGAGCAGCTCCCTGCAATGTTCACAAATCCAACGCCCACTTGAGGTGAAGCACAGCTGGGTGATTTCTTTGGCAGGGGACACCTTGCCCAGCAGAACCAGTGGCAGTTCTTGGCTGCAGCCAGCCTCACCCACCTGCCCCAGAGGAGGATCAGAGGAACCTGGGCTGCAAGAGCTGGAGAAATGCAGCCCCTGGAGCATCCTCCATGCCAGGACCCTGGAACATAGAGCACCGCTGCCTCTCCACATCCTCCCCAGCCCTTTCTAAAGCTTCCAGCAATGAAGATAAAGTCTCTCCATGCCAAGATGCCCCTCCAGCGAGCCCCAAGAGCTGGGCTCAGCCCCTGTCCCGTCCCAGCCCCGGGCACGGAGTGCTCCGCTAACAATGCCTGCTCCCATCCTGGTGCTGGGAAGGCAGCGCCGTGGCAAACACAAGCCCTCAGACAGGCAGAGCTGTCAATCCGGCCCCAATCTCTCAAAAGATTGATTAAGGACAAAAAAAAACAAACAAAAGAGAAAAGAGAACTTATGGACATGAGCTGAGAGGCGGGGAAAGAGGGGAGGGGAAATGAGCCGGGCCAAGTTAAAATTCCGACAGAGAAGTTGCAGCTGAACTATAGAGTCTAGACAAGCATTCACAGCCCCGGCCGCGATTGTTATAGAGCCTCTATTGTCTTAATTAACCATTTTAGCTGCAATGGAAGCAGACAAACCTTTTCTTCTCCATCCCACCCCTCCTCTGCTGCACACTCATGCAGACAAACAGCACCAAGTCAAGTGCTTTGATTTAAAAACCCCTCGGCATATCCACACACACCTTCTTTGGGGCAGAGCTTTGCGAGGTTCGTTGAGAAAATCACTCGCCAAACAAGCAAGGGGAGAGGGGCAAGCTGGAGGTGGGGAAAAAAGAAATGCAAATCCTGACGCAACATGAATGGGAACAAATGGGTTGATTCTTTTAATCTCCTAATGTGCTTAATAAAGCATTATTGCAATGCAAATTTTATTTTAATGCTGTACATATTTTATTTGACATGCTGGTAATTTTAGTTGGCTGAACAATCCATTGCTTTGTTTTACTGAGTTATTTCTGTTTGGGGGGATATTTTTGAGGGTATCATGGGACCTCTGCCAACCAATATCCCCTGGGAATCTCTGCAGCACTCTCTTCAGAGGCTTAAGCTAAAAAAATAAATAAATAAGAGGGCCAAACTCTCCTCTCGTGACCCTGATTGAAATGCAGGAGTGATGCAGGAGAACATCTCGCCCCCCTCCCTGAACCCTCATGAGCTCCACAGCCCATCCCATCCCATCCCATCCCATCCCATTCCATGGATTCCATCCCATCCCATCCCATCCCATCCCATTTGTACTCATTTCATGGCTTTAGTGGGAATAGCCTGACCAGCAAAAGGTTCCCCTTGCCAAGGACACCGGCATGAGGGTCTGCCCCAGGTGCCCAGGGCAGAGACATCTACACAGAGCCTTGCTGGTCCTGGGATGCTCCAGCCCAAACCAAAGGCAAGGCAGAGCCTTCCACTCCTGAACCCAGCCCTCCCTAGGATGGGTTTGGGATTTGTCTGCTCATGAGGGTGACTGCCCCTTCAGAAGGGGTTTGCATGAGGCATTCCTGGTCCCTGCCCACAGTGTTATTAATATTGGCCCTCTCCCACCATAACCCAAAACTTGGCATCCCTGCAGAGACAAGAGCAGCAGCATCTTCCCTGAAAGAAATCAGGGGGCTACAAATATTTCGAGAACCAACCTTGCCTTGAATGGGGAGAATCTGCCTCATTTCATGCCACAGTGTCAAGGTACAAACCTGATTGCTAAAGAAAGAAATTAGTGACAATTATAATCATCGTGCTGGGCTGCAGCTCTCTAATAGAAAACTGTCACTTTGGAGGATAAATACAGCTCTGGAGCTCTGTGTGTGTGTGCACAAGCCTGGGAGCACTCCTCAGTCCACTCACAATGGGATTTTCTTTTTCAGGAGAGCTGAGCATGGAACAGCTTCCCACATGTCAGAACTTCATATTTTATACAAGGAAGGAGGTTTTTCCAATGAGGGTGGTAAGGCCCTGGCACAGGTTGCCCAGAAAAGGCTGTCCTGTCCCTGGAAGAATCCAAGGCCAGGCTGGACAGGGCTTGGAGCAACTTGGGATAGTGGAAGAGATGGATTTTAAGGCACCTTCCAACCCACACACCATTCCATGATTCTATGTAGTGAGCCCAGGGATCACTCTTCTCCAGCACCAGATGAGCCAGAGGTCAGAGAAAAACCACATGAAGCACTTTTAGGAGACACAAGGTACAGGTGGAGAAGCACTGAAGAGGGATGCAAAAGCACGTGTGGGGTTCTGGAGCTGGAGATCCCAACAGCAGAGTCTGCAAGCCCTCCCCGTGTCACTGAACTCCTCCTGGAGCAGCATCTCGTCGGGGCAGGTGGAAGCACAGCTCCTGTGGTGGGGCTGGGGGAGACAAGGGAGACAAATCTTTTGCAAAGAGGTGCAGAGGGAGAATTCTTTGCTGCAAGCCTGGAAATCCAAACCCAAATCTGTGTGGCAGTTTTGGGGGCAGTCAGGAAGCTCTCCTACTCAGGCCTACGAGAGCACAGGCCTTTGCAGCAGGTCTGGAAACCCGAGGCACAAAGGGGGTCAGTGCTCGGCCCCTCACCCTGAGGAGCTGGGATCCCTCTGCAGCCAACTGCAGCAGTTCAGAGATGTGTCAGGAAGCCTTTCAGTGCCATGGCCTGGACACCACCATGGCCTGGACACCACCATGGCCTGGACACCCACCAAGGCCTGGACACCACCACGGCCTGGACACCACCATGGCCTGGACATCACCACGGCCTGGACATCACCACGGCCTGGACATCACCACGGCCTGGACACCACCTCAGCCTGGACACCACCATGGCCTGGACACCCACTGTGGCCTCAACATCCACCTCAGCCTGGACACCCACCATGGCCTGGACACCCACTGTGGCCTGGACACGACCATGGCCTGGACACCCACCACAGCCTGCAGCATGGCCAGAGACTCTCCACAGCTTCCTGGCAATCAGGCTGGCCCCTGATGGTTTGTGGGCTCCAGGTGGCATCTCCTCAGGCCCATGGGTGGGGTCACAGCATTTTTCTGCCCCCCAGCTACTGGCACTCTGCTCAGTGATCACCCAGAGGGGTGCAGGAAGGACCTGGAGCAGGTGGACTGGCTGTCACATGCAAGATCCATCATGTGCATGCTCCAACCACCACCTGTGTTCCACCTGTCCTGTGTGTGCTCCAACCCTCACGTGTGTGCTTGGTCACGTCCGTGCCCCATCTCCATCTTCTCCAGTTACCACGAGCCTCCTCCAGTCGTTACACACACGTTCCAACCCTCATGTGTGCTCTCCATCCATCACCTGCCTTCCCCAGCAATTGCAACCGTACTCCAGCCATCACCTGCATCCTCCAACCATCACCTGCATCCTCCAACCATCACCTGCATCCTCCAGCCATCACCTGCATCCTCCAGCCATCACCTGCATCCTCCAGCCATCACCTGCATCCTCCATCACCTGCATCCTCCATCACCTGCATCCTCCAAACATCCAGGCCTGACTTAGGGAGAGCACAGACAAGTCCTGGAAAGGGGCTGGAGGGGCCTAGAGGATGGCAAGACTCTTGTTGGCCCTGCACAGTGCACGAGAAGCTTCATCTTTGTTAAAGCCTCAAGGCGTGCTCTTAATGTTACCCCTCTAATAATAATATTTCATCTGCCTTATCTGATTAGGTTAGGCTCATTTGATTTTTGCAAAACACCTTTAATCACCTTGCAAATTCCCCATCATTACAAACAGAGCCACCACAAACATTATTGGCAATCTGAGTTTTATTTTCAGCAATCTTTTTTTTTTTTTCATACGCAAGAAAGACAGTTGTAAAAAAAATAATTTTAAAAATATGAACAAGACAGAGGCTGAGAAAACATTAACAAGGCCCTATGCTTTCTGCTAAAGTGCCTTCATTTCATTATCATTAAATTTGCCTAGTAATTAGATTTCAGTGCATGAATATTTTAAAAAAATGTAACAGACAGGCTGTCAAAAAAAAGCACGACAACATCAATTCGATAATTTTTTAGACAGAGACGTTCATAAGCAATTAACACAGATTTCCTGGGGTTGGAGACTCTTTTTCTTTCTTTTCTTCTTGTTTTTTTTAATTTTTCCTATTCTTCCAGCCTTACGTTCTTCACCTGAAATTAAAGGAAAAATAAAATCACTGTAAACATCAGCACTTTCTGCCATTTTCCCCTGTTTGCTAACATGATTTCAGTGCCATTTCCCCCTCGCTTAGCATGCTCCAGCACTCCTCCCCCCACCTCCCACCCCAGCCTTGCTAAACACGGGCAGGCACAAGGTTGGGTCATCCATCAGACCTCCCCACTCCTGCAGGACCAGATTAAATTAAGGTTGCATGAAGCTTCTGTCTTGATCTTCAGGCATTTCTGCTGAAAACAGTGATTTTGATCACTATTTGCATAATGTACAGTTACGTATTCACCGGCTCCCTAATTATACGATCTGTGTTCGACACCGCTCCAGACGCGGGGAGGCTTGTGCAGGGCATACCAACCACTGCTCGCAGCATTCCTGCTCCTGCTCTGGCTCCAGGTGAGCCCAGGGTGATCCATCCCCTCCCTGCAGGCTGCAGCCACAGGACAGGGCTGGCCTCAGCCCCCTTTGCCTTTCCCAGCTGGTCTGTGGGTGACACCATGCCAGTCCCTGCCCTACAGCTGCCAAAACAGAGCCATTGTCCTCCCGTTTTCACCCTCTGGGATGCACATGAGGCCCACAAGCCTCTCTCTTCTTCATCCTGCACATTTCCAACAGGATCAAAAACATTTCCAACAGGATCCACTTTTTTCCATCAAAAGGTGGATGGAAAGCAGCACAGTCCCAGTTTCCCCTCTTTTTTATCTCCTCGGTGTCCCAGAAGAACCTCATGTGCCAGAAGGAAATTCATACCTTAAACCACATTTCCCACATGACTGAGGCAGTGCCACTGGCCCTATGGAGATGCCCAGGAAGGAGCTGGTTGCTCACCACCAGCTTCTTGCACCTGCAGGGGGAAAGTTCCCACTCTCTCCTGAACTCTTCATTTGGAAAACAGCAAAAAACCAGTTTGCAGGGATTTTCATAGGAGCATGGGATGGTTTGGATTGGAAGGGACCCTAATGCTCATCTCCTTCTTCCTCTTGCCATGAGCCAGGGTGCTCCAAGCCCTGTCCAACCTGGCCTTGGACACTTTCAGGGGTGGGGCAGCCACAATCTGTTTCATTTCAGACAGAGCTTCCCAAGTTCCTGTGTTTAGTTCTAAATCAGGTCCAACACCTGAAATACTCTAAAGATGCTCTGGACAGATCCTTCATTGAAGCCCTTGGAATGCTGACAGAGCAGCCAGACTGGTGTTAGGTGTGTGCTCTTACAAGAGTGAGCCCCACCTGCCTCACCTGCAGACAGGAAGCCAAAATCACCTTTTCAGGTGTTAAAGAGCATGAGCCAGAGCTAAGAGATGTGCTGAGAAGACAATATACAATATACAAAACCCCAAACCCCAATTATTTGACCTAAACATAGGTGGATATTTAAAACCCATGTCTGTGTTATTTTTTTATTATTGTTATCATCGTGATCATTGTCTCTGGCAAGTTAGGAATACACAAAACAGCCACACAAAAAGAAAATCCTGGACCTCAACTCAGGTCATGCCTTCCTAAAATCTCCTTTGCAAGGTTTTATCGGCAAGAGCAGGGAGTAGAAGCAGTTGGTACAAGCAGCTGAAAGACCAAATCAAAAGCATGTGAGCAGATTAAAGAACCAATCTCTCCGTTTGATGCAGAGGAAATCCCACTAATTATAAAGAAGGGGCTTATTTCCTGGAGTCACTCTGTTTGAAGTCATCAAAACTAGTAACACTTAATTACTCTACTTTATGGAATATATAACATCGAGGCCCTTCACCGCTCGCTGGCCCACTGCTGCCATGGCTGGTGCTGGGTTTCCAGGGGGCTGTGGTGATGTTCCTCCTCTACCTATGCCCTTATTTATTCAAATGAAGCCCTTAACAGCCCTCACATGAGCCTGCAGGGAAGCATTTAAACATACTTTAAAAGGAGGTTATAATGAAAAAAAAACCCAGAGTGATTTAGCCCTGTGAGTTACCTGGCTATTACTGAAATGTGTGTGTGTGCCACGGACTCCTGCAGAACTGGGCACGGAGGATTAAACCAGACTGAAGATATTTGCTTCATCCTAATCCTTGAAAAGGGAAGGGAACTGACAGTAGTGTGACTGAAACACGGCCCTTTGGACATTGCTGAGCCATCTTTGGAGGTCCAAGAGCAAGCTGACAGCTTCTGCTTCATGGACACATCCAGATGACATCCATGGATAGGTGGAAAAGCACAGTCAGGTGTCTTGAGGAAATGAAAGGAGGCACAGGATCTTCTCAGAACTGGTACAAAGATATCTAAAATGGAGGACTCCGTGATTGTCCTCATCTCTCCAGATGGCCTTTGGGCAAATCTGGTCAGGATGTGCTTTGCTAAAGGGCCAGCAACCCCCAGTCTCCTCATACACCATGGCAAAGCTTGAGTTTCTGGCACTGGCTGATTCACATGGAGGGGAATCACAGATTCCATTAAAAAGTAGAAATAATCCTATTTTCACAGGTTGAGAGAAGCCTTGGAAAATGTGACCCAAGAGTTTCGGGCAGGGAAAGGCAAGTAAGTTCCATTTTGCCATTCCTGGAGTGGTCCCAAATGGATCTGAGTATTCCCAACTGCATCCCTAGCCCCGATGCTGCTCCCAGCACCTGAGTCTTCAAGCAAAGACCTTCCTAGTAAGGGAGGAAAACCCATGGGATCAAAGCCCTCTCTCAGGATACAGCGAGGTTCCCTAAGGCCAAAACTCTTCTAGAGGCAAACTGCAGGGAGCAGTTATGGTGAAGAGCTGCCCATTTCCATGGCTTGGAGCACCAGGACAGCCCAGGTGTGGGTTTGACTTGCCCAGGTCTGGCTGGTTATGAGACTTTTTTCAAATTGCTCTTTTTCCTGCTAAGCTGGTAAATGTTGCAGGGAAGGGGCAGGAGCACAGCTCCATCCTTCATCACCACCTGGGTGTGTGGGAGCTGCACAGACACCACCATTACCAATGGCAATAATGAATCTCCTGCTCCATCCCAGAGCTTCTCACAAACATTAGAGTCCAGCTGGGACAGCACATGGAGATGTGGAGCCATGTGCCTGTTTGAAATTCTGCACATACCGTGGCATCAGGAATGTCCCAGGAATGCTGCCTTGGAGTCATGAGGCCTCACAGCCGGGAATTGTGGGTGAAAAGCGTTTGTTTCCCCTAAAACAGAAGGGAAAGAAATCTGCTAAGCCCAGGTTTGACCTGACTGGGAAATGCAACTGGGCTCCAGACTAGCTCGGCTGGCCTGAAAAATCCCTTTTAAGATGTCTGAGCCTTGTAGAAGCCCCAGGCAGAGCATGTCACTAAAAACCACTCTGCCTCCATGAGGCCCTCTGCAATTCTGTTTTTGGTGGGAGAACCGGTGGGTGCCGTGCTGAACAGCATCCACAGAGCAGAGATCATCAGCGTCTGCTGCTCTCCCTGCTCTTGGCTCTGCCCTTCCTTGGTGGAGATCAGGCTCCAGCAAGGCCCCAGCACTGCTGGGCTCTGTGGGAGGGTGGGAGTGCACTGAGATCCACACAGATCTGGGAGATGAGGGCTCAGTGTCCAGCCTGCTCTGCTCTGGGTCCCAAGGACTACACGGCCCTACCAGGATCTTCCCCACTCGGTGCTCTCCTTTGGAGAGCAAGAAACCACTCAGAGTGGCACAGCTCAGAGATGTCTTTGCTCTGTCTTTTACATGCTTGGGGGCCCTGAATCAAAATATTTCCCTGAGCAACACAGAGAATTCCAGCATTTCACCCACTGCGGGTGGTGGGAATAGTTCAAGCAGGACCTGAAATAAAGCTCTCACATTTCAGTCCCTCTGGAACTGAGAAACACCCACGACTAGCCTATAGCTGATTTTTTTGCCTCATTTCTTCAGCTCTAACATATCAAAGGAGAAAAAGGATCTGCTGCAAGGCAAATGTCCCAATCTTTGCTGGCTGGCAAGAGACCAGCCAGGAAGGAAATGTATATCCAAAGAGGCTTTCTAGGGCTGGACACATCCTCCTGTGTGTTCTGTCATGGCACAGGCAGCAGCAAGGAGCAGACCCAGACTGCTCAGACCTGGGACTCAGCCCTGCATCTCCATCTCAGCCATGGGAGTGATGGCTGCTGCAGGTGGGAAGGAGCCTGCATCCCTCAGGGCTCCGGGCAGAAGGATGGATTTAACCCCCCTGGTCCCAACCTTGTCCTAGGTCAGAGCTCTGAGCTGTTGGAACAGCAGAGCACAAACTAAACTTTGGGGGCTGCTGCTTTGCACGCTGCCCTGAGGCCACAGGCAATGGACCTTTTTTCTCTACAACCTCAAAATGCGGGCTCAGGCAGAGGTGGGTTCTGTGCCTGAAAAATAAACACACCCACAAGACCTAAACCTTCCCGTAAGAGAAGGACAAGGGCTTAAAAGCTCTGCCCAGAGGGGTGTGGAAGGGGGTCCCGCTCTCCTGCTGCCTCTCCCTGGAGGAAGGGGTGAGTTGGTCCCCACTGCCATCACAGAGAGGAGACCTCGCCGCAGCCTGGCTGAGGTCTGTTTGTCACTTTTCCTTCATTATTTGCAGTTTGTACACAGGCGTCATTAGGGATTCATTCGGTTTCCCTAGCAGCAGGCATTAGTCTGGCTTCCCTTTCCCCCTTCTCTCGCCAGCGCCCTTTATTTTTAGTGTCTTATTTACAGTTTGACAGAGTAACTGTAACCCTTGCAAGCTACTCCAGCGGCTTTAATCGGAGGAATAATGAGTCCTGTCTGGCGATGAATAGAATTTAGGGGACAGATTGTTCCACACTCGCCCGGTGGGGTAATTTATTTATGTGCGCACTTGTCAGGAGGAGAAAGGGACGGGGGATCTGTATGCACCGAAGACATTGCCGGCGCTGAAAGGGAAGGGAGAATGGAGCCAAACGCCCCAGATCCCGCTGCCCCCCGCCCCTCCGGCAGCTGAATGCCTCCGGTGGCCGTGAACTTGGATGGGCCGAAAGCCCCATTCCCAGGCCCTCGGCACGTCAGCGGGGCCGCCGGGCGGCTGGGCTGCGGCAGCGGGCCCGGGGCTCCAGATGGGTCCGGCCGAGGCGGGCAGCCCTCCCCGGCACTGGCCCGCATAGCCGCGGCTCGGGGAGCAGCCCCATAGCAACCGTACAGTAGCGGCAGCACAGCGGGGGGCTGGGAAGAGAGGCAAAGCCCTCGGAAAAATACAGGATGGGTCCAGACAATGGCTCTCTCTCATATCATAAATTACACGGCAGCGACAAAAAGCAACGGATCCTGCCCTTCTCCCTCGCTCCCACAGCCCGGGCGCTCGCTGGGCATCCCCGGGCATGGGGACGGCGGCAGCACGAAGGAGGGAGGTGGAGGCATAGCAGCTTCCAGCCCACACGGTCTCCTTCACCCTTTCTCTGTCCCCTCAAAGCGCATTTCCTTTTCTCCTCAGCTTTTCTGCTTTCTGCCTCCCCTGAGCACCAGCACCTCAGCGCCTGTTGCATCACGACTGTGCTCCTTCCTTCGGCCAGCACTGACCGTGCCCAGAATCAGAGAGAAGCAGCTCCTGGTCCAGAAGCAGGACGGTTTCTCCTTCTTCTACTCTTCAGGGGAAAGGCCCTTTCACTCTCTTTTTCTCCTCCCTGGCTCAAGGCTGGGAGCATTTTCCATCTAGAGCCACCAGCAGCAAGGTCTCAGCTCAGTGTCTTCCAGGAGATGGTTGGACTACAGCCACCCCCAAACTCCCGTGCAAAGCAGGACAGCGGGAGCCACCAGGCTCCAAGGTGACCTCAGGCAGGAGATGGTCCCCATTAGCAGAAAGGATCCACTTTGCAGAGACACTGAGAAGAGGCAGGACAGGTGTGCAGGGGGTCTTTTTGCACCCTCAACCCATCAGAAAGGGTGGGGGGAGCCTCAGGCTGCTCACCCCCGCTCAGACACAGAGGTGCGGAGTTTGTCGCTGATTTCACTTAAATCTCTCCCTGCTTGGCCCCGCTCCCACCTACACTTGGCAACTTTCTTTTACAAAATAGCCTCAAAATTAGTCTAGAATTACATATTCTACCGAAGTGAGGACACACTTTAAGTAGCCAGTGTGGCATCACGTTGCTCTGGCAACACCCTTTTCCCACCAGTGTAGCCATCCTGGCTGCAGGGATTTGCCTTCACTGCTCCGTCAGCAGAGCCAGGAATGAAATGCAGCCACTGACTGATTCCTGTTGCCACGACGGTGCAGGGCATCTTCCTGTTCCTGGAGTTTTACCAGTTTACCAGCATACTGGGAGAGAACTGGGTGAGCCCCATGACTTTGACACCTCACCCAGTCTGGGTTCCTCTCATAGGTGAGGGGAGGACGACCACAGGTTCTGGCTACCTTAGACTTCAAACCATGGAAACAGAGTTAGTGGGCATTGTAGGGGACTAAACCTGGCAGAGAGCACCGACATCACATCTCCAGGCCATGGAGCAGAGAAGAACTAAGCTTCTCTGGATGTCCAGTGGCTGGAGTAGAACTCGTGCGATGGTCCTGGCACTTTGTCACCGTGGCCAGGGGCCAAAGGTGGTGCACCGGCTATTTTGGAGCAAAGGTCTGACCAAGGGTCCTAGAGTTGGAGAGAGCCTTCAGCCAGCACAAGCTCCTGAGATGCACGTGGGGGTCTGGCAAGGTGGGGACAGTGTCTGCTCAGATCCCCACACAGGACCTCATCCCAGGGACCCTGCACCAGCTCCCAGCCAAGGGGTGCTCCAGCCCAAGAGCCAATTTCAGGGCAGACCTTCCCCTTGGCAGAGAGGTTGAAATCTCTCCTTGCTCAGCTGAGCTCAAGGAGAGACAAGAGTCCTTGCACACACTTAAAAAAGGAGAGGAAAGCTCTTTGCCCCAGAAGCCTGTGTCCTGCAGGGTGTTTTGGTGGGTGCACAGCCCAGCCTGGGGTCGGGGGCAGCCCCTGCCCTCTGCTGAGGGAGCAGAGCGGTGCCAATCCCAGCCAAACCTGCGGCACCACTTGGTCGGGCCTGGAGAGGGGGAACCTCCTCCCGGGTACAATGACTGTCTATTCTGCTGATCACAAGCCTAATCCTCTTTGGTTTTTAATTGGCATTTGGGCTAAGCTGATTTAAACCTCTTCACCTTGTTGGGTCCCCCCTCCCCACTTCTTTCTTTTCTTTTTTTTTTCTTTTTTTTTTTTTTTTTTTACCAAATAACAACGCTGCCATCACCAAGTCCCCAGCACAATGACAGCTTTGTGCAAGGGCGAGAGGAGAGGAAAGGGAAAGGGAGGGGGAGAAGGGAAATGTGCTGAACACACTCGGAAACAATGCAGAGTTTGTGATTCAGACTTGACCACTGGCAAAGGACCCGCTTCAGCTGCGCCTCGATAATAAACACACTGTCCCATCACAGCACCTCTCCCCCTGCCCATCACCTCCACCTCAGGCCAGCTGCCCATCGGGGTGGGCTCTACCTGCCATCCCCACAGCCCAGTGGGACCCAGCACAGCGGTACCACATCCCCAGGCTCACCAGAGAGTGGCCCACAGAGCCACGTGCAGGGCAGGATGGGGCTGTCCCGGTGTCCTCTGCACCCCGGCCATGCCTGAACCGGTGCTGTGTCCCCATGCCGAGGTCTGGTGCTGGTCAGCAGCTCTGCTCAGCCTGGACAGACGCTGCTGGAAATCAGGGTCCACATCATGCTCCAGCCCAGGGTCGGCCAGCAGGAGCAGGGAGAGGAGGAGCGAAGTGGGATCAGCCGTGGTGAGGGGCTTCTGCTGAGGGGGCCTCAAGACAAGGTCCTGCTGGCAGCTCCTCACAGCTCATGGCTTTTGGGGGCTGGAGTTTTCCATATAACCCCCACTCCTGATTCATGTAATAATGAGCCAATCTGAACTAAAACCAAACACAACAGAAACACCTTTATTATCCCCTTTCCATTTAACAGGGAACCCTCCTCCCCGAAGAACCCCAAAGGAGCCCTTTGTTCCTGTGGATGAGACACATCTCTCCCAGGGCTTGGGCATTATGAGTTAACAAAACCACAAAAAAAGACAGAAAAACAGTTAAACACAGAAAAAAATCCAGATGTTTGAGACTTTGGCCCAAGTGGTCAGCAAGGAAGGTGCTGGTGACCATGGAGATTTTGGCTCCTCTTTTTCCCCACCACCTGGTCACCATGAGCTCTCAGCAGCCCCCAAGCACTTGCCGTGGAGACACTCAGTTCATCCTGGCAGCCTGATGGTGCCAGACCCAGAGTAAGAGCTTAGGAAAAGTCTTTTTAAAAAAATTCAAAATTTTTAAAAATCCACTTACCATGATATTCCCAGTGAACTCTCCCCGGGGCCAGAGACCTACACCTTGTCAGCCAGAAAATGAGCATCACGTAGGGTGAACCCATGTCCAGCCTGGCAAGAGAGAGAAAAGAGGATCGGAACTCGTTAAATGTCAGCCCCATGTTCCCTGGCCGGATTACACCAGGAAAGGGAGATTACAGCCACGCTTCTGACACGAAAACGGAATGAGGGAGAGAGAATTCATCTCGAAAACTCTCAGCATCATTGAAACTGGACTGTTTTCCTAACTTGAGATGCCTCTGTGGGGTCTCAGCCTTGCAGGGAGCAAGCAGAGCCAGGTTCTGGGGCAATTTGAAATGGGGGAAAAGCTCTCATTGCACCATTCCCTGTCCCTGCCACGTGTGGTGCCCACCAGCATCTCACTGCAGACATGTAGCAAAACCAACTTCAGGTACTCAAAAGCTACAAGCAGGACCAAAAGCTCTAAATCTAAGTGAAAAAATACCTTTGTTATTCTTTCTTTGTCTTCTGGGGAGCTGTGTTCTCCATGTCTCTCTCCCTGCCAGGGGCAGTGATTGCTCCAGCAAGGCCCAAAGCCAAGCCCAGAGCACGCTGAGGCCGGAGGGATTTATCCTGAACACTTTGCTGTGGCCAAGCACAGGGACACATTGAGCAAGAACCTCATTGAGGGAAGAGTCTCTGGTCAAAGGAGGAGCCTGACAGGATGCACCCTGTGACTGCCACCCTCAGTGCAGCTGGAACCAAGTGACAAAGCTCCAGGGCTGTTCATCTCTGCTTGAAAATACCAAAATTGAGCAGCCCTGACCCTTTGGATGCTTTGGAATATCTCTACAGAATTGTTTTATGTTTTAATAATATATTAATGTTCACTTTATATACTTTCCATCACTACAAACTCTGCCTCCAGCTGTGGCTACTCACAGGCTACACATGGATTTAGATACCCAGTACAGAACTGTCGTGTCTTAACCGAGGAGGGGCCAGAGAAAGAGCTCGTTCTCCTGTCCATTATTCCTGTAAATCATCTCTAACACTACAGAAATCAGACACAATCTGATCCTGTGAAAATTCAGTGGTGCAAAGCCAGTGAGTGGCACTGGTGGGAGCAGAGCAGCAATGCCCAGACCCATCCTCTCCTTCCAGCTCCGCTTCCAACACACTCCTGTGCCCCATCCTAGGGAAGGAATCAGTAAAAAGGAAGGGAAAAAAAAAATCCCCCAGCACAGACTGAAGTTTATAAATAAAAGCAGTGAGAAGTGGACTAAGTAGCTGCAGCTTAGCCCAAGAGTTAAGAGCCTTAGCGCATTTTTGCAAGTTTTAGGGAAGTATTTCCCATTCCTGACTAAGCACGTTTGGCAGGCAGAGTGGAGCGCGTGGCCACACACCCTTCCCAGCTCCAGCTAAAGGGCTCCAGCGGTGACAGTCACCCCTTCCCCAGTCCCTTCCCACCTCACAGACCCCACCAGAGACCGGGCTAGAGCCAAGCCCAGCCACATTCCCCACGGGGCTGCCCCCAGACAGGAGTGCCTGGGGCTCCGGCATCAGCCCCCAAGCAAAAAATGTGATTTTTCTTCTAGGGATAAATTTTGAGTTGGTTTTAATCTGCTTTCAAAATTCCCGTCACATCAGGGTTAAACTCACTTAGCATATTTAGGCTTTTAAGTTTCCAGGTCTCATGGCAACAGAGGGATGGGGAAAAATTAAAAAGAACAACAAATGCAGCCTCATGGAGCACCAAGATTTTCACCTAAACCACAAACCTCTTGCAATGGGTCTTCAGATAAAACACCCCAATACATTTCCAGTGCTGTAGTAAAATTAATCGCTTCCCACCCCACCAGCTGTGTGAAGAGATTTTTTCCTCTAACATTATTCTGAGCACAATAACTTTGTGCCCACAGATCACCTGGACCAGGCAAAGCCTCTCATGCCTCAGCCCATCACACACAGGAGGGGATGAAGTCACTCTTGTTTCACATTGATCCTTTTCCCCTTTCTTAAACTGCCACAAAATGGTTTCAGCAACAGAAAAAAATGAGGCTATTGAATTTTTCTAGTCCAAAAGAGGGAGGAGGGGTAAAAAAAAATAATTAAACAGCTGTTTTGCTAATGTTATCACAGTACACAAAGAATGAAACGTCATCTAGTGCATCTAGGAAAAAATCCCGCAGCCAAGCCTCAAGCCCCACAACGTCCCCAGGAGCACGGAGGGTATTTTGAACAATAACTTTTTTTAAAATACAGTAGAAAAAGACGATAGGATTGCCTTTGGTGCCATTCTCACGTGCAGAACCTGGCGGTGAGATGAAAAGAGGCTGGTTTTGGGGCGCGGGTCGGCTGAGGGGCTCCGCGGCGGGTCAAGGGAAATCCCCAATTCCCGTGGCGAGGCCCAGGATGAGCCCTCAAGCCGAGGCCCCGTGGCGAGGCCCGGGATGAGCCCTCGGGATGAGCCCTCGGGCCGAAGCCCCGTGGTGAGGCCCGGGATGAGCCCTCGGGCAGAGGCCCCGTGGCGAGGCCCGGGATGAGCCCTCGGGCAGAGGCCCCGTGGCGAGGCCCGGGATGAGCCCTTCGGGCCGAGGCCCCGTGGCGAGGCCC